TACTTTTCTTTATTCAAATTTAGGGCAGATTCAACTGGTTACCTAGCAACTGCATCTGGAGATGATTCAGTGTGTGTATTCAAAGAAGATGAAAGTGTAGTAGACCGGCGCAATCAGCCAGCATTTGAGTTAGCCGCGCGAGTCTCTAAGGCTCACGATGATGACGTAAACTGCGTGAATTGGAATCCTACAGACAATTCGTTGCTGGCATCATGTAGCGATGATGGACATATTAAACTGTGGAAATACACAGAGGAATAGTAAACTGAATCACCTGCAAACATTCTGTGATCAGGGATGATTCAATTTATAGCAGCACATTTGAATTATGTAACATGCGTCGTTTTTTTACGTGCATTGTATGTATGCATTCTTTTGTGGTCAAAATGTTTAGTGTTTTTACACACGATTCGGGCCTAGTCAAACTGCCTTGTATTTTGAAATGTCTGTGTTCTTCTTCCAAGTTTCAAAGAGGACATACAAACATACTATACTATGGATTTTGTGAAGCAATATTTTTATTTTCGCAGAATTACAGATATCTATCCTAGATCAGACAGATTATTACCCTCATTTTCCTGTAACAGAAAGTCTTTTAAACCATGGAAATAACATTTATACGTCAATTAAGGTAAAAATAAAACTGAGACAACTTCTTGCTGGTTACATATTCCAGGGTACTTTTCATTTTGAAGCTAATATGCATTGGATTCTATATTGGACATGATATGACTTGATGGCACTTTAACAGCTCACATATTTGATCACTGTTCAAAAAACTAGTCACGTCTGATGCCTTCTTCCTTGCTGAAAATGATATACTATGATGGTGTTGCTACAAAATTTACATCGTTTTTGCTGTAAGAGTAAGCTGCACAGGTGGGATACAGGATAATATTTAATACATATGTAATGTTTTAATCCTGTCTACATGGAATACTGAGAACATTTTTTCAATTTCTACCTTATTGATTTATTATGTATACTATGTAAAAAATAAACTCTATAAAAAGCAGACCTTTGTAAACAAACTGTTTTCTCTGTTCCTTTGGTGTCAGTCGTATTTACAATAATTAATTTTATTGAAGTCATGAAATGAAGTTAGTTACGGGGATTTCATTTCCATTTTGGTTACTTGTGTATCAGAATTCCAGGGTCCAACCCAGAGATTTTTTTTAACCCACTCTCGTAACGCATGTGTACAGACTAACTCGTTTGACATTTTTATGTCTTTTTTTTTTATAAATAGAATTTTTGAACTACTTTGGTTAATGGGGCTTAATCAAAATGTTTGAACGAAAATGCAAGTTTATTTTCTGAAAGGTGACAATAGTTGATGTTGACGTTCAATAGGTTAAAGCGTGGTGGTCGTCGCGCAGCATGTGTTCGAATGTCTTGTAAATAAACAATGTATTTTACACGCATTGTGTACGTTGCTATGAGTCCCATATCGAACAGAACGCGGCGCGACGACTGTCGCCCTTTAATCTGTAGACAATGGATTTATTGTATTGTGCTGTTTGGGGAAAATATATCTGATAATCGAACCACATAATTTATTACTAATAAGTTTATTTTTGGTGCATGATGTCATTTATTAAAATTTCACTCGTCAGTTTTCAACTTATGTTGGTGTAAAATCAGTATATATGGATGTACTGCTATAAATAAACTGATTTAAACTTGCTTGTTAATATTTACTGTAAAACGTTATTTTACCTAACCAATTATATTTTTAATCAAGTTGTTGCTGATTTACAATAAAGTATGTTCTCACAATGAGATATTTCATTTCAGTTCTGAGTATTGATCTAAATTACTGATAAAGGGCGCCCTCAACAATTTGCCACGCAGCTAAAGCAACGTAGCATAAACAACCAGCCAATAAAAGACGGAGATTTCAGTCACCTGATCAAACAAATCCCAAAACATACGATAACTGAAGTGACACTGGAAGAGGAGAACAACGGTGACTCAGGTTCTATTTCTAGAAGTTTCAATGTACAATCCATAACATAGGAATGGGTAAGAGGCGGAGGAAAGGATGGGCCCTCAAATGGAGCTCGTTTTTTGCGTCAATCGCCTTGATGGCGTTAATGCGACCGGTAAATGGGGACGGCGGTGGTGACGCAACGTCACCCAGTTCAACGAATGCTGCCGCTGAAGATGACACAGGATGTGAAGACGATACGTTGTACTCTCATAGCAAACACACCAGGTATTACTGCCATACTACCGTAGTTTATGTTCAGGATTATTTCACGATGACCCAACATGGCACAATACAACTCGCCGTGTTAGACATAGTGAGAACGCGCCAGAATTGGCCATGATTTGTGTTTTCACGAGTTTTCGTTAAGTCGGATAATCGGACCCGTTTCTCGTTGATTTTGAAACATGAACTCTTCAACTTAGAATCCCTGCTTTTTGTGCCTTCTAAACTGTTTTATTATTCGATGGTTGCCACAAAAACGTGATTGTTGACATTTACAGGAAATACAATAACAAGTTTGTCATCAATTGGTCACGTGACCTTCCACCTATCTAATCAACTGATGTGGTCTGACTAGCCATGGACGTATAACAACACAATAGTGCATACAGTGATTACCATATTATGATCACACGTAATACAAATCTGATTGCTATATATATTTATTGTGGAATTAATGAGCAACATATGTGACCTATATTCACAAAGTGGTTACTGAAATATTTTTTTTTTTAATTTTTAAATATTTTATGCTGATTGTCACCCATAGATACAAATAATTCATTGAACACACAAACCACTTGACTATATGACAGTAACTTACTTAAAAGGTTGGCTCAACGTAGCCTAATTATAGCCAACACAACCCAACAGTGATTAGATGGAAATAATCAAGCCAAATCTTGTACAAGACAAACTACATATAGTATTTTAACTATACACACAGAAAATCTAGTATTCATGATTCAATATGAGCAATTTTTTGACAGAAATAGTAATATTTATGGGTTTTTCAAATATTTTTTTCACTTATTACCCTCTATTCATTACATGCTTATTGGTAATTGGGTTAGTGGGAAGAGTTCCTTTTGTACTCCCCGTCCCTAACCCTAAACCAACCCCTACCCTCCAGCACTCCCCATTTAATTGCACATGTCCCTCCTAAGGACATCTATAGAGTTATCTAGAGGGGGTATATACAAATGAATTGGGTAACTGGGAGTGAGTATTAGAGTTTGGGTTAGGAATCAGGGGTACAAAAGGAACTCTTGCCGGGTTAGTCTTTGCACAAAGTATGA